CACATGATGTTATTCATGGGGAATATACGAAGATATATACACACAAAGGATTATAAGGAAGATAAACGACTAGGGGATATCAATACGTTACCCCCACCACCTCCCAGTCTACAGCACATCTCTAGGCTAAATGTAAATGATGAGACTGTTAATTTAAAAATAGTGTCGTATAATATTAACGGGCTGAAAAATAAACTGAAGCCAGATTTCCTTAGGTGTATCACAATAAATTACAAAATATTTATTAATTGGGAAGACAATAATTAAATATAAGCATAGAAATAGTAAAGATCAATCAATAGATAAAAAGGGGAAAAAGTACTAGAATTGCTCACAATCTCTGGTTTAATTGTGCTTAATGTTAAAACAGGAAACGATGAACTTGGCGAATTCACATATATTGGTAAGAGAGGTCATTCAGTGATTGATTACTGTTGTGTATCAGAAAATATTATACCTATTATAAAATATTTGAAGGTAGAACCGCAAATATTTTCGGACCATTTGCCCCTAGTAACCTATTTGGAATTAAATAAAGGACAAAACCAGTCAATATGACAAGCTAAATTACTACCAAAATTAAGGTGACAAGAAAAAAATAAGATAAAATATCATGAAAAACTAGAAAATAGTGTAAAAAAAATAAATAGTTCCATTGATTCGCCTATTGATACGATCAAATATATTACAAAACTAATTAAAACTGCTGCGGGAAATTCCAATTATCAAAAAAATAACTTTAAAAATAATAAAAATAAATGGTGTGATAAAGAATGCGACAAAAGTAGAAGAATAGTGTTTGGGCTATTAAATATTTACCGTAAAACAAATGATATAGATGAAAAAGTACTTTATATAGATTCGAATAAAAAATATAAAGACCTATGGTAGAAAAAAAGAAAAGAATATACGGAAAATATTATTGAAAAACTTCAATCTGTTACTAATACGAAACAGTTCTGGGAACTTGTTAATAAATTTAGGAACAAAAATTTAACATTTGGAGAAAATATTTCATGTACGGAATGGATCAAGCACTTTCGAGATTTGTCTAATAACCCTTTGATGGAGCAATCGGTTCAATGCGCTGTATGATTGGCTGAAAACCATTCTTTAGATAATCCATTTACCCTGGCAGAGCTAAATGAAGTTTTGCATAAGGCTAAGGTAAATAAAGCACCAGGTACTGACCGTATTCCGGTTGAGTTTTAAAAATAAAGCACCAATAAATTTTTTGGAGTGCGTGTTGAATACATTTAATAAACTTTTTAATTCAGCTAAGATACCCACCCAATAGTTTTAAAAGTTCAAATATATTCCCCTTATATAAAGCAGATAATATTAATGACGTTACAAATTATAGGGGCATATCATTCAACAATTCGATTGAGAACATTTTTACAGGGCTGATAAACCTAAGATTAATAAATTGGGCAAATGAATTTAATTATAAGTGAATGCCAGGCAGGTTTCCATAAAAATTACTCAACCATTGATAATATATTTAATATCGTAACTTTGAATTTAAGTGTTAAAAGGAGGAAAGTCTATGCATTCTTTGTAGATTTCTCATCAGCATTTGACAATGTGAACAGAAACACACTTTTTAATAAACTATATGAACTAGGAGTTTCCTCAAAGATTATAAATTTAATAAATGCATTGTATGATGATACTGAAGGCTCAATATGGATAGGTTATGAATTAATGAACGGTTTTAGAACAGAGAGAGGACTAAAACAGGGATGTATTATGAGTCCATTTTTGTTTTCCTGCTATATCAATGATTTAGAGAATTGTTTGGGGGTGGATTATCTATTAATAACAAAAGAATTAAAATGCTAGCATATGCAGATGATATCGTAATTTTGGCCACAAGCCCTATTGTACTTCAAGAGATGATAAATAATTTGGAAATATATTGTAGAACGCGGAATTTAAATATAAATTTAAATAAATCTAAAATTATGATATTTAGAAAAGGAGGGAAACTCGCAAAAAATGAAAATTGGAAATTTAATAAACAAACTATACAGATAGTAAATTGTTATAAGTATTTAGGGATATTATAAACGCCAAATTTATCAATGAGTAAGCATTTTCATCATAAAGTCTCTAAAACAATGATCAGTATTAAGGTATTATGGAAGAAGCTATTTACTTACAATAAAATAAATTTGAATGCAAAACTTAAAGTTTTCAAAGCTGTAGTTAGATCAATTATAGGTTTTGGTGCACAGGTGTGTGGAGGTTGTGAATATAAAGAAGTGGAAAAAGTTCAGTACTATTTTATTAAAAAAATATTAAATTTGCCCAGATATACACCTGCATATATTATTCATACAGAAACGCAATTAACTCCGTTGTATCTAGAAAATATATGAGCGCACCATAATTATATATGTGGAATTATAATAGGTTACCCAAAATAATAGCAAAAGAAATAGACTGGTATAAAGAGGTAAAACGTTTAACAAATCAATACCAAATAAATTTTGATTATAATAATACAAATAAATGAAATGTGTCTTTTCAGAAAGTAAGAGATAAACTGACAATAGAATTAGAAAATAGGTTCAAAACCCTAGCAAAAAATTCAAATAGAACGAATATATACAAAGATTTGAATCATGATATATCAGGAAACAATTATTTCAATAAGAAATACAATGAAACAATAATAAAATGGATATTTAAGGCCAGAGGAGAATTAATAAAATTAAACTGTAGGGTATATTACGAAACAAATAATAAATTATGTTCATTATGTAATATGAATGAAATAGAAAATATCGTGCATTTCCTTGGTGTATGTCCTGTTCTGACGGAATTTAGGAGAAAATATTTTGGAAAAGATAGCCTGACATTTGGGGAAATAATTGCACATTTGAACGGAATAAATTGGTTACATCTATCCTATTATTGTAAAGCAGCCTGGCAATACAGATATGCCTTATGCCAAGAATTTAATTATTAATTGATGAATAATGTTTAAGCCGAAAAAATTATTTATGTAATTATATATTAAAATTTTATTGTGTATTTATAATTGTGATATTAAGATTTGATATATTTTGTTTCTGTATTTATTAGCATTTACATTGTATTTATTAACATTAACATAGTAGGTTTTAGTTTATATTATTGTATCAATAATACTTGTTTTGCCAAGGCCAGCCTCCGGCTGACGGTTTCAAGAACCAAGCCGTAAATATTTTTTTATTGAGCTTGGATACTTTTGTTGTTTGTTATTGTATAAATACTCAATAAAAAATTCATTTATTCATTCATTCATTCACAATATATTAATTGAAAACAATTAATTTCCATAAATGTTTACTGGAACGAGGAACCACTCCTCTAGAGGAAAGTTTGGGGACCATTCTAACCCACCCATCTAATCTATAAAATTTATTTGTTTGTCATCACTGTCCATTTCCTTCTACAACGGTATTTTAATTATTTATTTAATTATAAGAGCGCCATAAATTCTTTTAGTCCAACATGAGTGCCAGTGATAAAAAAGACAACTAAATACATTTATATTTCATTGTGGATATTTTCAATTGTTTAAGTATTAATACAAATTTTGATTTTCATATTGCTTTAATCTATATCTATATATATATATATATATATATATATATATGTATGCATTACTAAACCATTTACCCGATCGCCATGACACTTTGGGAAGATGGTGTGTACACTCCTTTGAAGGTTTCTAGCAAACTACTTCTGTCTTATGATAATTTTATATGTGTCAAAAAAATAAAAATGTAATTTTTTTTTTTTTTGTTCCAAGCCACTATTCTCCAGGAGTTCTTCACCGATTGCTTTGAAATTTTGACACAGCATTACTATCAAATTCATGAGTGTTTTTTGAACATTTTATTATCATCCGGCATTTCATTTCGAAATGGTGGCCGAAAAACGTGTCACTATAAACTGTAGCACCAAAACAGCTGTAACGATTTTAATGAAATTCGGCTAAAGTCTTCCCTTTGAAAGCCTTTTAATTTATGTATACAACATAATTCTCCAAAAACAAGCTGCAAAAAATGTTACAATGAATTCAAGATTTTGTTTGCAATGCAATATTTTTTTATTGATAATATCCATATTAATTTGAAAGCTTCCTGAATTCTCTACAAAATAAAAAAAAAATCATCGAAATTGGACGATTTGTTGCAGAATTATAGCGTTTTAAACATTTACTACTTTCTCTTCAGCAAAGGCCATTTCCCTTTTTTTTTGTTATTGATTAATCAAAAATTTTATTATTACTGCACTAATTGAGATTATCATTTGAAGAAATGATATGATTCTCCTTATGTAGGTCAATATTATTATAGGCTTGTTATATTCATTCCATCCCCTCAATGTATTCTGGAAGTAGTATGATACATCTTAAATATTTGATATGCTATTATTTAAAAATATTTAGTCCTTGAGTAATAATTATCACCGTTTATGTTCCTTTTAGAAATAAATTTGTCATTGATTTTAGTTTAGTTTATCTTTTAATAAATTATTTTCTTTAACATTACGTTGAAATAAGGCTGTGCTGTTTACTGTAGAGTTTATTTCATGATAAAGGTATATTTTTCCACTTCAAGTTTTATAACTCTATATTTAGTCAAGTTGTTATTAAGAAGAAGCAAGCAATCAAATATCTTAGGAGAGGTATGTGAAATCTTATGAGGCAGGTGAAAGGCAGCTCTAACGCACACGAACCTTTTTTTCTTAATAATTACAAATAAGAAATGATTAATTATTTAAACAGTTATTTCAATGGTTAATTATTTCTTTTACATCAACACAAGAATTTTTTCATATTTTTAATTAATTCAAAATTAAATTTCAATATTCCACAATAGATAAAATAATAATTTTAAATTTTAGAAGGAAAAAATTTTAAAATATATTTTTATGAAATTTTGAATGATCAGCAGATGAGTTAAATATCTGAATAATAGCATTATAGTGAGCTTACTTAATTATTTTATGAGGTTAAATGAATTTTTACAATTAAAAGCATTAACTAATTTCTTACTTTGAAAGTTATTAGTAATTAATATACAAGAATAAATAAAAATATTACCAATATAAAAAAATAATGATTTAAAAAATGAAGAAGCCATGTATAAGCAAACCCATCCACATGTTCTATAAAGCCGTATCAACCACATATTCCAGTTATGTTCCTTAGTTATCATTTCTTCAGGAGAAATTTTTCCTTTTTCTAAAAGTAATAAATGATTTCCTCCCAATGTTTTTCCTGTTTGAGTGGCTATAATGCTCACCTATAGAATGAAAATTGATGATGTAATTAACATCAGAAATAATATAAATATATTAGTCACTAATTAAAGGAAACTATCTTAAAAATTAAATATCTGAATTAAAAAAAAAAAAGGAAAAATCAGTATACATACAGCATCACCAGTGTTTCCAGCATATGAAAATTGTAAGCGAATATCACCCACTTTGGGATCCCACACATCCAAGGTATGATAATAAAGTCCAGCATGCATCTTGATATCATGTCTTTCAGGACGTTCATCACTTGTTATTAAAGTAAAATCCTTAAACTTATTTTTTATCTCTTTACTTAGAGTAAAAGCTCCAATTTTAACATTGGGACTTACGTAAACATAACTGTTCACTGGAAATTCTCTAAAAAATTATATTTAATATAATAGAAAAAAAATTAAATTATTCTTAACAATAATTCTTAACAACAGAACTTACTTAGGATTATCATGGCCACTCTTACTATGAAATTTAGAACTGTCCAAAAGTTTATCCCTCCATTCAGTTTCATAATGATAAATCTCAAATGGCATGCTATTACTCGATACCACACTGTAAAAAATATAAGTAAATTAATATAACATAGGCTGATATTATTTCATTATATATATATATATATATATATATATATATATATATATATATATATATATTTATATATATATATATATATATATATATATATATATATATATAATGAAATATCCGTTTTCATAATACGGATATATATATATATATATATATATATATATATATATATATATCCGTATTATGAAAACATAATAGGCGACCATCAAACAGGTCATTATCCCTCGCCTGAACAGATTCAGGAGAGGGAGGAGCATGCTAGATCAGAGGCAGGGAGATGGACTCTCGCTGATGCTGTTCAACTTAGCACTAGAGAAAATAATAAGAATAACATCATGCGAAGATGGGGGGGTGCACGTTGGAATGAAACATAAAATCCTAGCATATGCCGATGATATAACTGTCCTCGAAAGTAATCAAGAGCATATTGCGAGACTCACTCGGACGCTATTACAAGAAGCAGAGCAAATCGGACTACAGGTCAATATAGATAAAACAAAATACATGATAGTTAGCCGAAACATCCACCCTAATAACATGATCTGCGTGGACTCCAAGTCATTCCCGAAAGTATAGAGATTCAAATACCTCAATAAATGATCAACTAACAGAGATAGACCAGCAAATAACAGGTGCGAACAGATCTTTCTTCTCTCTTTCAAAGGTACTGAAATCCATGAAAATCTCCAGAAATCTCAAAGTAAGGGTGTACAACGCCGTGATTAAGCCAGTTCTACTGTACGGTTGTGAAACCTGGGCTCTAACCGGCACACTAGAAGCACACCATCAGATTTTGAAAAAAAAAATCTTGTTTACGCTGTGAACTCAGAGTTTATTTTTAATTCTCATATGTATTAATGGATTATAATACCACTTCAGTTTTCTGCCTACTGTTAAAGAGAGAGTATGTCGTTTCGTTTTTTTTTTATCGCTTTGTCTGAATTAGTCTTTTTTTTTAAATAATGCCGCGTGGAACTCAAATCATTGAAATTGAGCAGCTAAGGATAAAGGCCTATGAAGAGGCAAATTAAACTGTTCCCAGGGAGTAGTCAAATACTTTTAAATTGCTACCCAGACAATTATGGGAAAAAGAAAAGAAGTGGAAGACCTCCAAACTTTTCCAATTAATTAATTAATTTAGTAAGATGTGTTCCCAAAAGACTGTTGGAGTTGATCAAAAAACATGTCAAATGTTCTCATAATTGAAATGATTTTATTCATTAAAGAGACAGAAAATTTTTGAGTTTATACTTTTTATAGATTTATTTTGTTATTTTGCCCTAATTGTAGAAATATGATTAAATTGTTTATTAAAATTGTAACTTATCATTTGCAGAATAATATCTTTTGAAACTCTGATTCCAAACTAAATGACTTAAACTAATTGAAACAGTTTTTTTTTTCCTTGAGTTTATATTTTTTCACAAAGACTATATATATATATATATATATATAAGTCCTCTGGAGTGGCCCAGGGTACGAGCATTTCCCCTCTCCTTTTTAATTCCAATATAAATGATCTTCCCAAATCCATCTACCACTGTTCACACCATTTATACTCTGATGACTCCCAAATCTATTTATCCTTTCACCCTTCTGAGCTATTAGTCACCTTCGCCAATATTCAGGCAGACCTAGATAGGATCAGTACCTGGGTAAGTCTGAATAATTTAAAGCTAAACAAGATGAAAACTCCAGAGATTATCAAAGGTTCCAGTTCTATTCTTAAATCCATCTCCTTCCTTTCTCCTTTAGTCATTAATGATCAACCCATCACATTCAGCTCCTCCTTTAAAAACCTAGGAATCACCATTGACAAAAACCTTTCCTGGAAACCCTATATTGCCCTCATCTCCCGAAAGTCAATAGGTACCCTTAAGTTATTTCATCGCTCCCGCCACCTACTCCCACAATCTATCCGCAAGCTCCTTGTTTCCTCTCTTATTTTCCCCCACTTTGACTACGGCTGTGTGGTGTATGGGAGCATGCCGATAGTACTCGAGGATAGATTGAAGCGAATCATGAATTCCTTCTTAAGATTTGTTTTTGGTACTTCGAGGCAGTCTCATGTGTCCCACCTTTACAACAAGTTAAAGTGGCTCTTCCCTTCTTTCCGCAGACAATATTTCCTTGGATCTTTCGTATTCCAAACAATCAACACCCGACACCCTTCCTACACTTACAGTCTCCTACAGTTCAAACCCGTGGTTCACTCCCAGAAAACAAGGTTCTGTGTTTCCGACCTTTATTTCCCTTCCTATAGAACTAAGACATTTGAATATTACTTTATTGCTCGATCCACTGCCTTCTTGAATTCCTTTCCATTTGATATCTGCCATGCCTCTTCCTTGTCCTCATTCAAATATCATCTCTACCAACATCCCAAAATGACAATGTACAATGAAATAAATATTATGAATCAAATTTTGACTGAGGTGAATGGTTGTTGAAATTGTTTTGAGTTTTAATTTTAAAAATCAACCCATAGTGCTTATAATATTTTGTTTTTGATTTTACCTGATTTCTGTTTTTCTTTTCATTTAAATAATTTTTTTTTTTTTCAAAATGGTGTTACTTTTTTATTTGTTATGTTATACTTTCACTGAAGATACTGTATATATTCTTTAATTTTGATTAATGTAATTTTTGGCCAGATGTGGTTTTTATTTTCTGTTCATAATTGTTATTCATAAGGGACCTCGTCCCAGAATAAAGTTTATTTTCTATTCTATTATATATATATATATATATATATATATATATATATATATATATATATATATATATATATATATATATACATTAATCAAAATTAAAGAATATATACAGTATCTTCAGTGAAAGTATAACATAACAAATAAAAAAGTAACACCATAATATATATATATATATATATATATATATATATATATATATATACAATTATTAAATATATATGTAATTATATATACATATATGAGTTAAAATAATCACATTCAAAATTTTGTATACATTAAAAGCACTTACGTTGACTCTTCCTTTTTCTCAACCCATTGGTACATTTGAACACGGCGTTTCAGTATAACAGCAGGTACAGATAATCCATACTCTGGTTCAGTTAAAGGTTCTTCCACTTCAATGAACCCATAAAGGTAGACAAGCTTGCCTTCATATCTTTTGTTAACTGAACTAATATCATTAATTTTATGAATGTCTTCAATAACAGATGTAATGATCTTGTTAACTTCAACCGCTTTCATCTGAATAAACCAATGAAAAACTAAGACAAACTTTTAATAAGTGTAAAAAAAAAATTGTTGAATAATTAGTTATATCTCGCAAACAAAGAAACTGCAGTACCGTAAGAATTTTTTTAAAATACAATTTCTAAAAATAGACAACTGGTAATTCAAAGATAAATATAAGTAGATTACATTATCTCTTATTTTTACAAATATAAGTATAAAACATTTTTATTAATTGCAATTGACAATTAGCCATAAAATATAATGGATAGTATGCATGGTTTGTAGCAAGTATCTTTTGAGTGATACAGAGGTATAATTTGTAATTTCTGTTTAATTTACATATAAATAGTTCTGAATAGAGTCTTTTATTTATATATTGGGTTTACTCGCATGTATTGGAGAAGATTTGATACATGCTTATTAAAAGAAAATGATGTCTCTATTTTTTCACGCACTAACAAAATTCATGAATTAACAATAAAATGCTAATTTAAACTTTGTTTAGTTGTTATCTTTTCCCAAAGTGCAAAATCTTTTCAGTACCTAAAAAGCATATTAGCAGATAGGAATAAATTAATGCAATTCTAAGCCTTAAAATAAAACTTAACTATGATGTAAAATAAGATTAAGAAATTCTTTATCATTTGAATTAGCCATTCATTTCAACATTTTAACTTTGTTTCTTGTTCGAATAAGTGTTTTTCCTCAATAGTTCCTGAATCTTCATCAGTTTTAATCTTCTTAGTATTAGTTTTGTAAATTTAAAGTTTAAAAAGAAATTTACAAAACTATTATTCAATATATTTTAACTTATTTTTTTAGGAACACTTAAAATATGTTAATCAATAGATATAAGAAATAAAACTACATTATTCTTACTGTTTTATTTCATAGATAATTTAATTATAATTTAGCTATAAACAGGATAAATAAAATAATTTAATGAACCATGCATTATAATAAACAGTTTCAAATTAAAAAAAATTATTCCTACTTTAAGATAAATAGAGCTCTGGAAAAAAATAAATAGCATACAGGAATCATAACTACTGATTAAATTCTAAGATCATTAATGTATAACATTAAAATAAGATTAAGCCTAATGGAAGCCATTAATTCATAATATCAAATAGCATTTCACAAATTTTAAAACACTGTAACATTTAATCAACTTAGCAATCGATATCACATAAATTGTTACTCAATATTTCTTGAGTGGTTATTTTTTTTTTTTTTTTTTATTTATTTATTTAGACATACAATATTCTGTCACAGGGACAATAATTATATTGATAAATGAGCACATTCACACCGTATATACAAAAAAAAATAAAATTAACAAAGTAAAACAATAACTAAATAATAATAAATAAAAACTATATACAATAAAAAAACCTAAATATAAGTAAATTAAAAACATAAAAATACAATCATACCTATATACAATATATACAATCAGGCGGGGAACCCAAATCCCTGCGCTAGTCTCTCAACCTCCTCACCGGTGCTAAAGCCGGTGGAGTTTGAGCGAGAGCGTTTTAGCCACATACACTCATGTGTTGAGTGGAGAATCTGGCCATTGCCAGAACTCCAAAATAAATACTATAAAAGATCTCTGGGCCACTGCCGCTTCAATCTTCGAGGAGGGTTGTAGGGATGAGTGGAACTAGATAGGGATTGGGCTAGGGGATTTGGATGATTGATAAGGTTCTGATGGAATTTTGAAAATTTTTCAGGGATGAGGTCAAGGACAAATGGGATATTAAGGTCATGATGTAGGGTTTTGTTGGTTACATAGAACGGAGCATCGACTATTGTTCGGAGGACTTTGGATTGAAAGGATTGGATGCGTTTGATGTTAGAGAACTTTGCTGTCCCCCAAAGTTCAAGTCCGTAGGTCCAAATGGGTTTCAGGATTGTCTTGTAGATCAGTAATTTGTTGTCAATTGAAAGTTGAGATTTTCTGGTCAGTAGTCTGTATAATTGGCTGTATCGTCGGTTAAGTTCTTGTCTTACAAGTCTAGTATGTGGGTTCCACGTTAGTCTTCGGTCTAAGATAAAGCCAAGATACCGGACTGTGTCTGAAAAAGGAAGCTGGATGGAATTAAAGTGGACTGATGGACAGGATCTGCAGCGGAGTGTGAAGGTAATGTGTTTGCATTTGGATTCGTTTAGTTTGATGCGCCATTTTGAGTGGTTATTAAATGTCCAAAGTAATAATAAGTTAAAACCTATATCAAACTAACTTCTTAATATAAAGGGAAATTCTGACCAAAAAAAAGGATAAAGAATTAAATATTTTAAATAGGATATGTGCAGAATTGATATAAAACATGTTGGTTCTAAATTTTTAGGATCTAGCCTTCTGTTAAAACCAAACAAAAGAAAATTATTTCAATCCCTGTCCAGATTCATTGGCTATAAAAGAGCTGAAAACAGAGATCTTAATAGCAGACAATGTGAATATTTGAACAGCGTAGGGATGCGGCGACCCCATCTAGACTACAATCATCCACTGGCCCACCAGGTTGGTGGAACAACTACTCTGAGGCGCACACAGTACACTGAAAACAGCACATTACAAATATTTCACATTTACAGACAAAGGTCAAATACAGTACACACCCTAGGGTCACCTCCCCTAGGTAGCTGCCCCAGACAGGGTAGTACCTCCAGCTAATAATTGATTTCAAACCCATCAATCCACAAACATGTTATCTGTGAGTAAAAGGAAAACTATATAATTTTAGCATCATTAATGTGCATGCCCCCACGGAACCAATCATGTAGAGATGTATGGATGATTATCCTAGAGCCGACATAAAAATTGTTATTGGGGACTGTAATGCACAAATCGAAAGAGCATGAATTTTGTCATGTAATTGGAATGCAAAGCATATACCGAGAAACTAACAACAATGGTCAGAGATTCATCAGCTTTGCAGCATCAAGAGGATTAGTGATAGGAAACGCCATGTTTCCCCATAAGAGAATCCACCTCGCTACTTGGCGATCCAATGATCAGATGCGGTGTAACCACTAATCAGATAGACCACATTGTTATAAGTGCTAGATTCGACAAAAGTCTAATGGATGTAAGAGTGTTCAGAGGTGCAAATGTGGACTCTGATCATTACCTCATAATTTCAAGAATAGGTACTAGAATATAGCTACAACATAACATGAGAAATAAGAAGGAAAAAAGGATCAATGTGCAAAAGCTCAGGAACCCTGAGGAAGAACATCTTTTTATGGAATCAATGGATCGAAAATTCCAAGACCTTGAACCAGATGATGACCTTAGTCAGAGATGGAAGACATATAAATCAGCCATCTTAGAAGTCTCAAATGAAGTCTTAGGTCAAGAAGAATATTCAAGAAAAGCTCCTTGATTAAATGAAGAATGTAAGCAAGCAACAGATGGGAAGAACTCTGCCTACCGTATGATGATACAAAGAAGATGTACAAGACATTCCATAGAAAACTATCGTATGAAGCGTATAATGGAAAAAAGACTGCATCCCGGAGGGAGATCTTGAGCCACCAGATTACGAGGAGGTTCAAGAAGTGATAAGCTACCTTCAAAATAATAAGGCACCAGGAGCAAAGGGTATTCACAGAGAACTTCTGAAACATGGAGGAGAAAAAGTGGACAAATTTTTGAACGATCATTTCATAGACATTTGGCAAAGCGAAGAAATGCTAGATGATTGGTATGTGACAATCATATGTCCCATACATAAGAAAGGAGACATTATAGAATGCAGGAACTACCGAGGAATATCTCGACTTTGTAACGGCTATAAAATATTCTCAAGTGTGCTGTATCAGAGACTCTGCCCAATAGCTGAGCGAGAAATTGGATTATACCAGGCAGGGTTTATGAGAGGTCGACGGACTTTGGATCAGATCTTCTCAGAAAGATCAATCCTAGAAAAAGCCATAGAGTACAACATTACCACGCACCACCTCTTTCTTGATTTTCAGAAAGCCTATGATAGTATTATAAGGGAAGAGATACATCAAAATCGGCTAGAATTGGGAACTCCTTAAAGTTGGTCCATTTTACAAAGGTGACCAGGAAGAAGTTGAAGTGTGCTGCCCAAAGTTGATGGAGGACTTTCTAAGGATTTTGAAACGTACAAGGGCCTTAGGCAGAGTGACAGCCTTGCCTGTTTATTGTTTAATATGGCATTGGAATGTTCTGTTAGAAGCTCAGGTGTACAAATTGGAGGCACCTTATTTAACAAATTGACTCAAATCCTTGGCTACGCGGATGACTTGGACATAATAGGAAGAAACTTGGCATTTATGAAGGAGGTATTCCTTGCTCTACACGAAGCGGCACAAAGAGTGGGTGTAACAATAAATAACTCAAAAACCAAATATATGAGAGCAGTTCCGCAAGCATTAGATCAGCAGGATGCCCACGTGAAAAATGGTGACTTCACATTTGAGAGTGTGAAAAATTTTATTTATTTGGACTCTCAAGTGAACTCTGACAATAATATTCAGTAAGAAATTAATATACGGTTAATGGCTGCAAATAGTTGCTATTTCAGGCTCTTGAAACATATCAAAAGTAGATATCTCTCGAGAATCACCAAGGTGCAGCTGTATAAGACCCTCATAAGGCCTGTTCTGATTTATACTTCTGAATGTTGTACAACCTCTCGAGCTCAAGAGCTAATGCTCCTAAGATTTGAGAGGCAGATCCTTAGAAGAATCCTTGGGCCAATAATCAGCGATAACGTTTGGCAACAAAGGACTAATTCTGAAATAGAAAGAATGTATAATGATACAAATGTTGTCAGATTCGTAAGGATTGGAAGGCTCCGTTGGGTAGGGGTGTTGCTCGAATGAAGAATGATGAGGTTCCAAAGAAACTTTTGGAAGAAAGGATACATGACAAGAGAAGGGTTGGAAGGCCGAGACTTCGCTGGGCCGATGGAGTCGTGGAGAATGTACGGTCCATCATAAGAGTAAGAAACTGGAGGGTAGTGGCAATGAACTGAGAAGACTGGCGGTTCATGTTAAGGGAAGCCTTGACTCACCACTGAGTTGTAGGGTCAGAAAAA